CCGAATACACGTCGGGATATAATATTCTAGATCAAACAAAATGAATAAGTAAAATCCCGAAAATCACGAAGTGTATTTCGGTAAAGAAACACCAAATACATGTCGGGATATATCAAGCAAAATGACTAAGTAAGATCTCGAAAATCCTGAAGTGTATTTCGGTAAAGAAATACCGAATACACGTCGGGATATAATCTGCTAGATCAAGCAACATGACTAAATAAATCCTGAAAGGTATTGTCACTTAATGAGCGTGTTTGTCTTAGGTATACCATATATAAGACTCTTTTCACTATACATTCAGTGGAATATATAGCCTTCATTAACCATCTCTCCTCGTTAGGATATAATATGCTAGATCAAGCAAAATGACTAAGTAAAATCCCGAAAATCCTGAAGTGTATTTCAGTAACGAAACACCGAATACACGTCGGGGTATAATATGCTAGATCAAGCAAAATGACTAAATAAATCCTGAAGTGTATTGTCACTTAATGAGTGTGTTTGTCTTAGGTATACCATATATAAGACTTTTTTCACTATACATTCGGTGGAATATATAGCTGGCGCACCCGGCTAGAGCGACGAAAGGACGACGAGACGGCGCAACGTCTCGGTGGCTCGCAGAAACTATTTCACTTTTGTCCCTAACTTGTCTCCATGTTTTGTTATGATGTGTTGTCGAGCACATCGGTCGCACACGGGGACCCTCCCGGCCGCATCACGCAGGATTATGCAGGACTTGTCGTGGAGAGCGTTTGCCGCTCCAGCCGAGTGCGCCAGCCGTACCTCTCGTGAGCCCCTACGACAGGACAGGGTCACGCGAGGCACCGCTTACCTCCACCTACGGGGGCTGTCACCACCCCTTAGGTGAGCGTATCCCTGCCGAGCTACTGAACCACATGCGAAAACTTTTCGTATGCAATTGCAGAGGTGGCCCAATCGAGGGCGTTTCTCGCCTTATGTGTGTCATCCTTGCGCAGGGGCCATGCTAATCTTTTTTTGTATCGTTTCTATTTTAACAGATGTCCCGAAGGACCAGTTTCACGGGCCCGAGACCCAGGCTCGTCGGGTTTGCTGCCTTGGGGCAGATGCCTCATCAGGGCTGGGGCACAAATCTGTATCTCAACAGTTCAGTGGTGTATCCACTCAACAAGGCTGCTGGGCATCACTGCAGGCCCGGACACCGGTACCGGACCTTCTCCCAAATGAAGAAATAATAAAAACTAAGAGAAGTAAAAAAAAGAATAAAAAAATTAAATCAATAATAAAAACTTAGAAATAAAATACAATAATATTATAAAAAAACGGATGGGGGAGGGGACCGTTGGTACTTGGCCCTGCCCCGCGGGCCCTCGGTCGGAACCCCTCGCAAAAAGCCAAGGGGGATAGTCCCGTGGGACCCTCAACCCCTCAGCTCACGCCAACACGCTCCTCCGCTGCTCCGCTGCTCGCTGCTGGGCTCCATCCCGGGATCCGCCTGGTGACAAATCAGTGACATAACCAACAGGGCTAAGCCCAAGCCTGAGTTGGCTGTGGGAGGCCCCGTATATGAATGGTATGGCCAGCCAACCCGGGCCTGCAAACGGTGCCGTAGACCGCTTTTCTTAACTTACAGCCTACGTCCAAGGCCCCGTGATGCCGCCCTTGGTTGCCCTGAGGGTAAGGCCCCGCTTGGCTCACCAGGCGCGCCGCCTTACCATGCCGCGGCCGCAGGCCAAGGCTCTTATGGCCTACCGCGACCGCCCTCTTACCGCCTCTTCGCCGGCAACCCCCGACTGTTGCTTTAATTTGTGTCGTCCTTACTTAGCTCCAGCGGCGGCCCCTACTACCGGCGACGCATGGTCAACCTAGTGCTTGCAAAATCTCACATGGTGCGACCCTGAGACGTCGGCCTCTAGTGAGTCAGGCAACATCCTCCTTTAGCCACCACCTTACCTGATCAACGCGACGCTGCCCGTAACTTCGTTCGTGCGTGCGAGGCTGCAACCGCCTCAGAAAATCTAGCCTGACCCTTTCTTGTCCTACCGGCGTCTCATAGTCTTCCCCGATCAATAGCTTGGTCCGACTAACGCGTGCCCGCAAAGTGCATGCTCACACACTCTGTAATCAACACAAATGGGACGCGCCCCTAGATATCGTCAAGCGTGTTTTTCCTGTAAGTTGCAAATATGTGCCCAAATACCCTTGTAAGGGTGTTCGGGCCGACAGTTTTCCGGACCTTATTAAGCGACGTCCCCGTCGCATCGGACAACCAAGCTATAAACACAACCACATTTGCTGACGAGGAGGTAACCATTCCGACTCACCGACTCGACTCCGTTTGAGGTGATCTTATCAATCTGCTCCCGTTACGGCGTTCCATTGCCAGGATTTCAACCTGGGTCTCCCACTTCCTGGCCTCGGAGTTAGGGGATACTTTGTTCCATATTACATCGTACTACCCGCTCCCAGGTAGTAGGTTGATAGGCGTCTCTCTTCGTCGTTAGACCTCTGCCGGTTCACCGTTGGGTTTCTTGTTTAGTCATCGTCCCACGAATGGGGTCATAACTTAGGACGCGGGCCCTAACCGAGACCTCTCAAAATACGGGGCACCTTTAGTCCCCAAATGGTAATGCTACCATCTCAAATATCCAATCATAAAGAACACCCATCTCGGAGTCTAACACAGGAGGCTTCGGGTCTCCATCTTGGCCCACCATGGAACGGTCGATCACGCCGACTCCACGGCCCACCTCGTTGTTATATATAGCGATAGTGCCCTCGTTGCTTACACAACGATAAGCAATTCTCCATATCTTGGCACCCCAAATGGTCATGACTCTTGACCTAATCGACCCCAATGACCTTCCCTCCAACTAAACCTCTCTGGATGGCCGACCCTTCAAGACTTAACCTTTGGTAAGTCATGGTCCCGCTGCCAGGTTGTGCCGGTTAGCGTCCCTCGCTGGGAGTTAGGTTCTACAATTCCAGCGATACTAAGTATAGCCCCTTAGCTTAGTCTATCGATACGTCCCTTAGACTGACTCCATTGTGGTCTGACACTTTCTCCAACATCTTTCGAAAAAAAAAGCAAAGGATCACATACCAACTGCCCACGAGACTACGTGGAGGGACAGTGTCTTTCTCAACCATTTCATCAAATCCTCAGTAATTCCACAGGGTCGTGTCTCCCTTTCCTTAGATAAAAAGTAGGTAAGGTCACACGTCTTTTAGGGATACTCACAATACTTTCCAAAGTTTCAACATAACTGCTAAAAGTTTTCATCAACGATTCTTACAAAATATCTTGTCTTTCCTCGTCAGACTTTTACATACACACAAACAGTTATCATCACACTATGATCTCTTTAAAGAGTTCTCACAAATTTTCTTCCTCTAAGAAAGTCCAATTGACCATTGAACTTCCTTCTCTCTTTTCTGAGCCACACACAAAAACACAACTTTGGTTGTGATCTCTCCATTCATCATCGTCCCATATGGACAAAACATATCATGTCATTACTCTTTCAATAATATGATAGCACTTCCTCCCATCATACTTTGGCTTCACTAATCATTGAGACAGGGATGCGTAAGTACAGTGGAAAAAAATGCAGATCAGTCCACTTCATAATATCCATTTCGTCACACCATCATCCATATAGGCAAGTCCACAAACTGAGAGTGAGTGTGACACAACACACACAACACAAAGACAAGGTTTGAGACTCGCATATACACACAGGATATGGGGCCCACCAAATAAGCAAGGGCTCCTGTCCTTATCGAAAGATCAAAGTATTGTATAGAGTTCAAGTATCTATCACAAGATTACAGTACCCAACAAAGGATCAGGTTATCCAAGTGACACAGTATCAAAACTCGACAGTCTTCCTCTACTCATGAGCGTCTTTCTGCTCTAGCGGATAAGTGACCCATAACTTTACACAGAGGTACTAACACTCCACACCACACTAGCAACAAAAGAGAGAAATAGTCAAAATTATACACAGTGTTATCTTATGTGCAAGAAAGTTTATAAGTCTATAACGCGAAAGCAACATCTCACTACTGGCTCAACTCGCTGATGTACACGGGTCTGATCCAATCCTCCATGTGTCCTCCTAAATACAAGCAACCATCAATTCGGGAGTTAGAGATGTCTCGCGTATATTAGACTTTAAACCTTTCCAGAACCTTATTAGAAAATCATACTCCTGATCACTCATGACCTCCTGCAGCTGCGGATACAACTGCGCCCTCACCCCATCACGAGTCTTAGGAACTTGGTTTCCATTCTTATCTCTCCATACACTAGATGATTCCCTGGTAACCAGACCATTTGCCTCGTCCTTGAGGCTTTTGGGGCAATCATCAGATCGATGCTTGCTCTTCTTGCAGTAGAAACATTTGCCAACCTTCTTCTGAGGCATCTTGTCACCTTCCTGGAAAGGTACTGATAATGGGACTGTTGAGATCTTACTCGTGACCTCCTATTATGGGACCTCTGGGGAAGTGGGACATGCTGTTCTGTCCCCTGCTCGCCGACACGTCTCTCTGGCCCTGACCCAGTAACCAAAGATCCCAATGCATCCCGCAGATCTGCAGTAACCAGCACCCCTGAGGTATGGCTGACTCCGGACAGTCCTTCAAATCCCTCCTTGACTCAGTCTCCAACAAGGTTTGGCCTACGCTCCCCAAACTCTCCTGTTGCCCCATGGTCTCTCCCTGAGTCACAAGTAGAACTACTTCAACTCCCATCGCCTCAATTGGGGGTCTCTCTTCTGGCCTCGTTGGTCCCTGCACGAGTGTCAGACCAGCTGGCAACCTCCACTCGAACTCTTCGACCTCTACGCCCTTCTCCGCTAGCATCCCTCTCGGCTCCAACATCTCATTGTCTATCAAGGGAATCTCTTCACCTTCCTGCTGGTTCGCCTTCTCTTCTTCCCTCTGACCCTTGTATGTTTCCTCTGCAGGTTGTTCTCTAATTTCAAACTTTTGGACCTCTGTCCAATCCACCACTGTAGTTGGAGCCTGTTGTCTATACTTGGCTTCGAGGTCTTGTATTCTTTTTTCCTACTCTGCTTCCTTGGCCTGGAAGGATACCTATTGTGCGTATAGATAGGCTCTCAGGGCGTCAGTGATCTTGTTGAGGGTCTGGTTGACCTGCCTGACGGCCTCATTCTCTGCCCAGACCTTCTCCATATCTGCCTTCACTGCCTCCATCTCTTTGCCCTGTCTTTCCAACTCCTTCTTCAGGTCCTCAACTTCTCTTTCCCAGTCCACTCTCTGGCCATATGCCTTTTGTGCCACCTTCGTCAATTTGTCTTCAACCCTCTGATCCGAGGCTCTAGTCGCTGCGAAGCCTTCCTTCATCGCGCCCCTCAGGTTGAGTAGGTCTGTAGACACCAGCTTGACCCCCATCTCCTGATGTTGTCCTCCAGACCCCCCTGCAGCGTCCATCAGCTCGTCAAAGCTGACCCATACCTCTGAAAACAGAGGAAAGTCCTCCTCCTGAATGTGAGCGCTCTTTCCACTCTTGTCATCCACCTGCTCAGACTCTTTCCCCTGCTGCATCCTCTCATGTAGCTCTGCAAGGTTCTTCATCCTGAGTTGGACCTTGATATCCTGATCCCTTGCCGCTCTCTCTTTCCTGTCCAGTTCTTTCTCCTGGGCAGACTGCTCTTCCTTGTGCTCCTGCACATGTGGCTCATGAGACAAGTCTGGCTCTATCTCTGGCATTGGACAGTACACTTCCATCTGAGCCGGCTGGGGAGGCGTCTTTGGACCACCTGATCCTCCTGCTCTCTCATGCCTGTGGGATCTGACCTCCTTCCTCCTGTCCTCCCTTAGAGTCCCTGATGAGATGCCCTGCTCAAAGACTTTCCTCTCCTCTGCCTCCGGCTCCCTTCTTCTCTTTTCCAAACTTCCTCTCTCACCTGCCTGACGCGCTTGAGTATAGTAGTTCCACAACAACGTTTTGCAGTGACCCCAACTCATAGCAGGAACCACGATAGATCTAACGAATGACCTGATGTGTCGCCTTACGTACACAGGAGAAAGTTTCCTATCCTCTGCTCCCCTGGAATATCCAGCTCATCCGCATATCGGTCATAAGCCCATAGAAATTCCCCCAGATTAGTGAAGTCAAATCGGATGGGTCGTCCATCTCTTCCCACTGGCGATGGGTGCAATCGAGCGCATCGGTCCCGCAGGGGGACCCTCCCAGCCGCGTCACGCAGGGTTATGCAGGACTTGTAGCGGGGAGCGTTTGCCGCTCCGACCGAGTGCGCCAGCCGTACCTCTCGCGAGCCCCTATGACAGGACAGGGTCACGTGAGGCACCGCTTACCTCCACCTACGGGGGCTGTCACCACCCCTTAGGTGGGCGTATCCCTGCCGAGCTACTGAACTACATGCGAAAGTTTTTCGTATGCAATTGCAGAGGTGGCCCAACCGAGGGCGTTTCTCGTTCGCTGTAGCATAGGGGGTTACGAGCGGTCGAACGCCCAAAAACCAAACCCGTACGCGAATCGACGCACAGGGGGGCTGAAGTCCCAAACACGACTCGGCGCCGGTCGACTAGGACGCATCACGCACACTACACGTACACCACAACACTCACATCTACCCACACATAACATATGGAGATACGCAAACACCATAAACGACGCCACAACACCATAATACTCCTAGTCCCTTCAGTATCCGACCCATAACTTCATGTCGTGAGACGCAAATAGGTACTGTACGCCGGTTTTTTGTATAAGAGTTGTGCGAGTGCATGACCTCCTCATATCGACCAGCCATGTGGGGGCTGATGGGGTACTACGTGGTACTCGTAACCGCGCGGCCCTTGATAATCTCGAGGGTCGCGTTCGACACTCAAGTGTCGGCTGACAGGCGCTTTGAGGGGTAATCTCTCGATGCTAGACAACCGCCATGTGCGGTTGAAGACCACACCCTCTTCTGCACCCTGTGCGGAGGGGTCGAGTAGACAGCTTCAGGGTTGTCGTGGTAGCCGACCTCAAGGGGCTTAACTTTGACGGCTACCACGGATTACAACGTCCAACCATGAAAACTATAAGGAGGAAGCAACTGCGGATAGTCTGATAGCCGTTCCAAATGAAAGGGGTAGACCAATGCGAAAGATGCGTGCGAAGGGTGCCCAAAATCATACCCATGGGCAATCCGGTGTTTGATACGTTGGAGGCTCGTACACGGATCCTCATAGGCCGACTAGGACTAATACCCTGCCCAGGCGTCGTTTCGCGCTGCCGAAACTTGGGTCTACTGGTCATAACGCGCTTTTGCCCTCTCTGCTTGACCCATACCTTTCCGCGCGAAAATCGGTAAGTGTTGCGCTCGCGGGCTAATATAAAATTGTGCAGGCACAGGACTTGCACATACCGATCTACAATGCGGACTCTCGTAAGCAGTTGGGATGTCGGTGCGTTATGTGGTGCCCATACCCAAGTGGCCTCATTTGAGCCATGGGATCGCACTCGACGTTCAGGCATCGGCTGAAGCGCGCGCTAAGGGGGGTAACCCTTTAGCGAGCGCAAAACCGGGGTGAGGGCCTTACCATCTTCAGCACCCTGAGGTGCCCCAAAGGGCGCAGGGTGAGATGGTCCCTAGGGCAGGAAGGAATTCGGAGCGGTGGTGAGTTGTCTGGCACATCATCAGCGACACGCTAATCCTTTCGCCCGGAACTTTATCATTCCACTAAAGTAATTTAAACAAGGAACAAAAAAAACAGGGGTACTAGACGCTGGCAGGGGGAACATGAACGCCCCGCCGGACCGAGTGGCTGGGGGATAGCCCCTCCTCCTTGCGGTGCCTCTGTTCCCACGGGACCGTAAGCAAATCAACGTCCTGGACCGTGACAAGGACCTCCTTCGGGCCTCGGACTAACGTCCGACCAGATAAAATCTTTGAGTAGGGGAAGACGTAAGTGTGCGGTTGCGTAGCCCTATAGGGGTTACCCGAGCGTACGCTTACTCTGATTATCACATTATCACATTATCAGGGTGGGAAAAGAACAATCTCACTCAAACAAAAGGTTGTGGGGTAGTTCACTCTTACGACAGTTGTGTGGTTTGCCCATCTGAATCCATGCATAATCACTCAACAAGACTCAATCGAGATTCCCTCATACATATCTGCAATCATACGCACCACATTCAAACAACATCACACACACTAAAGGGGTCAACTTTCCAACTTTCTGCAACTCACACCCTACCTTATACACACAAGCCCACCCATTTCCCCACCAAACCTCAACAAAGTACTCGGTCTTTAAGAAATGGCCATTTATAAAGGAACTGGGTGAAAATCCGAAGAAACACACAAAACCTGGCAAGGGTCAATGCCTTAGGTTGAGAGGCAGGAGAATAGGAAAGTTGAGTCATAAACCGACGAATCGGCAACTGACCTGTTATCAGTGATAACAGCAGAGTAATCCTTTTGTAGGAATAGCCTGATCAGATCAAGCCTTCAAGCGAAACACGGAAACCTGCATCATAGTATAGGCCAAAGGAGAGTACTACTTATGTTTCTGCCAGAGGAGAATACTCCCCAAGTCATGGCCTAGCTCCTCTACTGACTTTAGGGTCAGCTCACCTTGCTAGTACTAGGTCACTTAGTATCTCCTCTAATTAGGATAGACCTGCCAAGTAGTCCTTAACTGAAATATATTCTAACTCCCCAAATTCTACGAAATTTCGGCAGCGCTTCCCATAGGAAAAGTGTCTTTTCAGAATTTCTATGAGCTCAAAATGACTAACTCCTTTCAGATTTGTAGAAATTTCGGCAGCACTTCCTGTAGGAACAGGAGACTGTCAAAATTTATACAGATTTGAAAAGACAGAAAGACAAAGCAAACTATACTTGGGAACTATCTTCTGACACCTGCTCGATGACTTAGAATCAATGATAGCCCGCCCAACCTCTTAGATGAGGTGGTGAGTTAGCCCTCATCCTAACTCCTAGCAGGGTCATCCCTATCTTCATCCCAAGTTCTCCCTCCCATCATCCATCTTACCTGCCTATGGCTCCAACACTTGGCGAGCGTCTAAAGCAACTAACCTATCGAATCAGACGCCCCAGAGTGAGAGCCCACAAGCATGCATAAACAAACATCTCTCACCATTCCACATAAGTTTGACCCCAGTAGTTCGATAGATCATTTCGTTCTTCCCTTTAGTAACCCCCTTGCCTATGGTATAGGATCATACAACGCCCTAACTTAAGGGTATGTCCAACCTGCCTAAGGAAACAAGTAAAAATACATACAACAACACTGCCCTAACTTAAGGGTATGCCCAACACCACATGAACTCTAGTCATAAAACATATGACCAGACCGCCCTAACTTAAGGGTACGCTTGACTTCTATTTAACTAACTACATGAAGCATAAACTAGACTGCCCTAACTTAAGGGTATACCTAGTCAGCTCATAGACAAAGTTACATAGGGCATAGGATTAGGCTGCCCTTACTTAGGGGTGTGCCTAACCTGCCTTAAACAAGTACGAACGACGAATGGTCAGACCGCCCTAACTTAAGGGTACGTTCATCCTACATAACATCAACGACAAGAGCACATCACTAGGCCGCCCTAACTTAAGGGTACGCCTAGCCAGCTTAAACATTTTAGGTACATAAGACAATATGACCAGGCCGCCCTAACTTAAGGGTACGCCTAATCTGCCTAAACAATCACAAACGACGTATGACTAATCCGTCCTAACTTAAGGGTACGCTTAGCCTTCGTAACGACAATATAAAAGAACAATCATTGGTATACTTGCACAGACTTTATATGTTTCTCTCTTATTAGGCAGATGATTGGACTTATCCAACTTAGGGAGACATTCAACCCTGCCTTGTGTTTGGAAGGGAAAATAAAAGCAGATTTATACTAACTCTCTGCACCTTTCTATTATTACGGGCATAAGACTGAACCGCCCTAACTTAAGGGTACGCTCAGCGTGCCCGAGTTACCTCCATTATACTCTTTATTCATCTCTCTTCTCTTCTTGTTCTATCTGAGTTACTGACTGGCTTTCCCAACTTAGGGTGCCCGGTCTGCCAGAATATAAGTTTGTATAATATATACCAAAATTATATATTTTTTGTTTACCTTTTTGTTCATGGCTTATGACTGAGCCGCCCTAACTTAAGGGTACGCTCAGCCTCATACATGTGTCCCCCTCATAAGAAACATACACAGAACTGGGTGTACGCAACTTATAATATTCCCAGCTATGTTTTCAACAACCCACAAAAGAAACATCAGGATTCTGAGTCCTCCCAACTTAGGGTGTCCATCCTCCTGTTCAGAAACCCGAGAAAGAAACAGTGACTGGTCCATACAGTCAGCCAAGCAAACATAAATAAAACATAGCACTTAGCCCAGATCAACTTAGAGCACAAGCGGTTATCGGGTAGCTGAAAATTCAGGAATGAAAATTCTGAAGTGAGAGTTTTGGGCAGTCTGAAAATCTTGAATGGTCCTGAAGTGGTGAAGGATGTCCTGAAGTGGTCAAGTGAGAGTTTTGGGCAGTCTGAAAATCCTAAATGGTCCTGCAGTGGTGAAAGGTCCGAAGACCATGAAAACCACCCTTCACCACTTAAGGATGCAGCCTGCCTAAACAGGTGGTTTTAGGGTCTTCGGACCTTTTACCACTTCAGGACCATTCAGGATTTTCAGACCTGAATTGTCCTGAAGTGGTGAAAGGTCCGAAGACCCTGAAAACCACCTGTTTAGGCAGGCTGCATCCTGAGGTGGTGAAGGGTGTCCTTAAGTGGTGATGAAAAATACGACTATTGTTAACCTTCTCTTACTTAGAGGAGCTCAGCCTTGGGTTGACCTGGTCAAACGCATGCAAACGCCTTCAACCCACCTTCCCCCCAGTTCATTTTGGCTGAATTCACTCAAGTTTATCTAAACTCTCATATATATTTGTTAATTTAGTCTTTTACAAAGCATGTCCTGACATACATAACGAAACAAAAAGTAATATCCTTACATAGTATTATTCAGATACCCAGGGAATAATAGTCAGGGGAAGGGATCATAT